TCAAAGTGGCAAGAGCAGGCAGCCAGGTAGGCAGAGGCCTGGCCATCATATAATTGCAAGGAAGAACATCTGCTAAAACATGAAAAGTCACCGACGCAGCTGGAGGAAGATGTGTGCCAACTTCAGTAAGAGAGTGAGAATTCGTAAGACTCTTGTAAGAGCCAGAGAGATTATTTGCCAGACCAACATGGCTAAGTTGGAAAATTCATTGTCAGCGCTCCTATGGGTAATTCACTCAAACATTATTACTAAATTTGTATATGTACGTATATTGTAACGACTTATTTATTTAATTAATTGTTATGTAATTAGTTTTATACACATGTATTTTTATGAAGAATATTTGAGTATTCATGTGATGTTCATATGTAAATTTTTCCATATGTACACGGGTCAATAACTTTGGTTAAGTGTGTTTTGTTTAATTTAAAGTTTTTACTTGTGTTCTATGCTGATGACAAGGGTTCTGTTTTCTGTGTATTTTAGATTTTCAATATGTACAAGAAATGTTCTTTTGTTTCTTATTTTTCCTGTGTTTTCAGGTAGCAAAGGGTTTATTTACAGTTATATTAGGATTTTGTGTTAAAGAGCTATTTTGTATGATTGCAATTTGCATATTTCAAGTAAAGTTATATTTTATATGTTTAAATGACTTATTTTTCGTGCTTCATGCATGTATATATATATGTTAAGGGATCTTTTTCCGTGTATTTTACTCTTATATTTGTTTAAAGTATGCAAAAAGTAATAAGGCCTTTTCTTTCTTTCATCACTATAAATTTTTTTTTTTATTATATTGTAAGATTGTTTTTGCCATTTAACAGGGTTGTATTATTAGGCAAGTGTTTCACTGGGGTGAGGATGATCTTTTTTGAAACACGATTAAAGCTTGATTGATTTTCTTTGTTGTTTCGCGGATGGCCGAGTCGACCTGAAAATAAAGAGAAAATATGATACAGCACGGTATTATATGTTTGATACCCCATTAAGTAACATGCAAATGTTTTTAATTTATATATTTCTTTAAATTGAGTTTGAACATAGAACATCATCAAGTAAGCAACTCCATGTTTCCTTACTACAATTAGGGCCAGATTCACTCTCATTGGTCATTAAACGTGTTTTCTTGTGGAAAACATGGATATCACTTCATTCGTGATAGACAGCTGTATTTTCTACCAACAAAGTGGGTACTGGCCACCCTGGGCTTCTTTACTCCTTTGCAAGAGTGAGAGTGTACTAGAGTCACGTGAGTGATATGTGGGCCATGAACAGCCCGGCTTTGTTGTTTTGTTTTTTTTATTATAAAAAGCCAGGCTCTCTTTTATTATTTAGACAGATAGAGGAGAGTTAGCTATAATTAGTTTTAGATTTTCTTTTCTTAACTTTGAGGATTTTATTTCAACTTCAAGTTTTAGCTTTTCCGTCCTTTTCACACAGGGAGTAGGGACTCATACTGAACTGCTGAGAGAAAGCTATTAAAGATTATTTCACACTATTTCTCTGGCCTATTCCATGTTTGTATAGCAAAAACTTGCTTTTGATTTGTATTGTTCTTTGAATGTATTGGTACGACAGCGGAAGTCACGTGACGCTGCTGGCGCGTTTGTCTCTGGTAGCGTGCGTGAGGTTGCTCGAATGATCATGAATGATCGGGGAGGCCCGAGTGCATTCGAGACGCCACCTTCGTTGGTATATAAGCCTGGCAGAGAAGCCAGCGATATATAGATAATTAAAGAAGCGAACAGTGGTGACGGTAATATAAAGTGTGTGTTTGTATTCGTAGGGAGCAAAGTTATCGAGATTGTGAATCGCTGTGATTTATAGCGTATATTATAAAAGTAGTTAAGTTTAAAGTGACGAGAAACGTATTGACAGTGGAATTATTGTGTACTAAAAGTTTGTGTCGAGAAATAATAAACTGGCTTAATCAAGAAGGGACTTGTATCGCTGAAGTTCCTCGGAAAGAATTTATACCGGAAATTATCAAACAAGCAGATACGTAACAGTATTGTCCCTTTCTTTGTGATGAATAAAGCCGGAGTTCAAAGAGAAACACCCATACTCTGTGGCACAGTGTTTGTTTTTGACCTCCTGTTTAGTGGGCCCTGCCCATTTACTCTAAGAGAAATCTGTGTAATGGAAAGTATTAAAATATCAGTGATGGGCAAAAGAATATTACTACTAAGATAAAGCCTATGTAAACTGAACTGACAGATCCGATGATCAAACCAGTCATACTTGTATTTGAATCTGCTCAAAGCTTTTAATCTCAAACACCATTAACTATGCAACATGAAATGGGAGAACCCATCTAGTGTACTAATGTCACTACTGCTGTTATTCCAATTTCGTGGATTACTCCAGTTACAGTACTACCTCAATATGAAGTATGCAAGCCAGTTCAACAGCATCACCCAATCCAAAACCAACAAATTATGGCAGAAAAGAATCAAGGAAAGCATACAAGGTGCAGTTCAAAATTATTTCGAAAATTTATGAAACAGCGAGCTTTTCATCTTACTGCACATTTGAAAGGATGCACTGTAATTACATGAAACAACCTACCAACTGACAGCCACAACATATTTAGAGTGTCACACCAGAAAGACGATTTTAAAGTTAAGTTAAGGAGCATTGGAAGCTGTAAGTGCTGAAGGTGTGGAAATATTTGCACAATTATCTTATCCATATTCTCCATATGAAATGATAGATTTGTTATCATATGATCAATGTATAGGTGCCATAGTTAATGAGGACATGCAAATTGGACTAAATTAAAGTAGAAGATCATTTGAAAATAGATATTAAATAAAATAAAGTTGGAGATAAACAACTAAAGACATCATCCATGAATTACAAGATTATAGAACCCAATGTTATAGAAACATTAACTTTCTCTGGTTGAGTTCTACAAGAACTCATAGTATTAAGCAGTAGGAACCTATAGGCTTACGGGAAAAGAAAACTGCTATAAATTAATATGGATGAAGGAGACGATATCTTCAAGATAAGAATAATCCACCTGCCCGATTTAGGGTAAGGAGTGAATTATATAAAGAAGCCAACTCTCAAGTCTGTGAGTACATTGATGGGAAGCCTTGCAACATATTGATTGACACTGGTTCTACAACCACCCTTGTTCAATCTGAGCTGGTTATGAAGGATGAGAAATTGCCTCTGAGGATAAAGTAAGCAAGTGGTCATAAAGTTCCAGCAAAAAGAAAGCTGGAAGTCACTCTACTGTGGAAATATTCCAAGAAGGTGGGCATTCCAAACCAAAGATCATCCAATATGATTTTTTAGTAGAAGAATGACTAAATGGTTAGTTTCGAAGTACATCATTCAACCTGCTGAAAGTCTGTTGAAACTAGAGTGGATTCCAATAGGACAGGCATTTCAAACCAAAAATAATCTAACATGGTCTTCTCTGAAGTTACATTGGTAGAAGAATGACGAAATGTTTAACTTTGGAGTGCTTAAGTCAACCTACTGAAAGTCTGTTGAAACTACTTCTAGAGTATTACCAAGGATACGGCGATAAGTGTATTTCTTCATCCATCTACCTAAAAAAATAACCTTCCTTGATAAAACAGTAAGTGCTGATAAAGGCCAAGAGGTCATTCCATCTTTACACCATAAACCACGTTAAAGAAAATGACCTAAAAGATTTGGTGAAAGAACAATTTAGTGAATAAATGAGTAAAGAAAAATATATTTTGTTAATCAATAATATAACTGCAACTTTTTTGACACATCTAATTAATCATTTCATAATTGGGATAAATGTATATTTATGAATATTAATATTGTTAATTGTCAATAGTTACTTTATTGTTAATCGTGGAAGTTTAAGCTTTATGTACGAAATGACAATGATTTCTGTGTGTGTGATCAAAGGATTTCCAATAATTTATGTGTGTGTGTGATCAAAGAATTTCTAATATGATTTCTGTGTGTGTGATCAAAGGATTCCCAATGATTTCTGTGTGTATGATCAAAGGATTCCCAATGATTTCTGTGTGTGTGTGATCAAAGAATTTCTAATATGATTTCTGTGTGTGTGATCAAAGGATTCCCAATGATTTCTGTGTGTATGATCAAGGGACTTTATAATCCAGGGATGGGTTAGATTCTTAAGCTGTGCTTTGAAATTCAAACATTCTTATTATTGTTTGTTTAGAGGGAGTTTTCATATCACATGGTGGGCAAAGCTTAGTGATTAGAACCTTTTAGAAAGATTAGGAAACGATTATAGCTGTAGTACAGATTATTGATTTGGGAGTCTATTGCAGTGATTTATGTGTTATTGATGTAGCGAAATGTTTTAGTCAGTTTGTCTGTCACTAGCAGCCAATTAAACAGTTATTTCAGTTTTGTTCATATTGAGTTTTTGTTGTGATGAAGTGCTAGAGATAAAGAAAATATTATACGTGCAAGAGAATATTGCAAGTGAGATTGCTGTATTATCGTCAACTGTGAACTTAAGCCAATCAGTGAACATTACTTAAGCAAACCTGTAGAGCTTATAGTGAGTGGACTGGAATTTGCATAACTTTATATCGAATAATCCAAAAGAACTTGCCCAACAATAGAAACCATACAACTGTATTTTTTCCACTGTTTTTACTACTCATTGTTTTTCTTATTGTTCTAATTCCCGTTTTGTCCTTCTCACAGTAATTTTATTTGTTTTTCTCCTTCTCTCACTAGTTTTATTCTTCTCACTATTTTTCTCTTTCCCTACTACTACTTTTGTTCTTTGTGGGGAGTTTTTCCGCTAGTACCACCAGTCTTTATTGGTTTTTCACTGCTTTTCTCCACTACTAATGTATTTGTTGTTCAGAATCTACTTTCTCACCACTACCGTCTTTTATCTCTCTCTTCCTCGTTATTCTGTATGTATATAGTTTTGTTATACTCGTTTTTTCTCCACTACTGAACTATATTCTTTATCCTTCACGTTGTTTTATCCTTCGCTGGATTTTGTATGCTTTCAGGAACTTTCTCTTGTTTGGCTGGACACTTCAGACTTTCTAGACGTTTTGGATACTTTCTAATCAACAAGTTCATTCCCAGCATTCTTATCGTAAGCACGTCTTTCCTAACCTTCTGGATTCCAGCTGATGCGTATCCCGCAAGAGTGACTCTGAGTGTGACGTCACTTCTGGCTCTCGTGACACAGCAATATCAAAGCAAGATGCCTTCTGTCTCCTACGTGATTGCTTTGAATATCTGGATGATGTCTTGCATTGGCTTCGTATTTACTACTCTACTAGAATATGCTCTAGTCATTGCTTTTATGGAACACAAGGTTTCACCTTTAAGACTTAATGTGGACAAAGTAAAGGTAAATTTATTTCAACTATGTACGAATTTTAAGTCTTGAAATAAGTTTCATTTTTCATTCTTTAACCATGGAAACAATTTGTATTAGCAAAGAACAAACATTTAGTAACTTTAGCTTAGCTTTTTGTCTAATAAATTTTCAAAAAAAAAAAGAGTAGGAAATATCAATCCTCTTCATTAAAAAAAGAACATTTAAATGGTGTTTAGAAATAGAAACCCCGGTATAATCACTTCTAACTTTCCAAATTTTCGTTAGTAGTACCACAACAGAATGACTATCTTACAATATGTAAGCAGAAACCCCGGTTTCATCACTTCTAACTTCCAAATTTTTGTTAATAGCACCACTACAAATGAATTTCCCACAATATATAAATATAAAACCTTTTTCATCACTTGAAAGTTTACAAATTTTCGTTAGTACGACCTCTTCAGATTGATGATATCGCAAGATTTTTATATGGTTTTACTTAACTAACCAAGCGATTGGAGGAAAGAAGAAAATTTACATTCGAAACATAAATATCTGATGGTGTATTTTGTTCCAGCAAATAATATTAACTTAGTAACGAAAACACTGACACATTCTTAAATACATTATTTTGAATATATAATGAGGAATTATTAGGTGATAGTAGTGTGTCTCTCTCTCTCTTAATTTATCTGATATATGAATATGTTGTTACATGAAAACATATGTTAAAATCATGAAACACCTCTACGTTTTCCACTGCTAGTTCGCTATGATGTACTTAACACTAAAATCTTTTCATTGTTTTATTATATTTATAATGTTTTCTTTGCAGGATGCAAATCACTACTCTAACACGAAATGGTTAGTGAGAGGTGTAATTAACGGAAGTATCACAGAACCACCTAATGACATTTTAACGAGAAAATTCAAAGAAGCCATCATAAGATTGACCGTCTTTCTAGAGTTTTATTTCCTCTCGGCTTCTTGATATTTTGTGTCAGTTACTGTTTGATATATATTTCTAACTGATTATGGATATTTTGTATCAGCTGCTTTGTTTGTATTTCTAACTAATTATTGCTATTTCGTGTTAGTTACTGCTTGCTTCATATTTCTAACTGATTATTAATATTGTGTGTCGGTTACTGCAAGATTCATATTTCTAACTGATTATTAATATTTTGTTTCAGTTATTGCAAGATTCATATTTCTGATTTGGGTTTTTTGATAACGTGTTTATCAATTATTGCTTCATTTGTATTTCTGATTACTTCTGTGGTTGTAGTGGTTGATATTCGATTCTGGGCTTTCTTTTTAGGAAGACTAATGTATTATAAACTTGTCTTGGATTCCCCTCGTTAGATGGTTTCCCACATTTTGATGGTTTCTCTTCTAGCTTAGCGGAGTGTTTTACCAACTAGGTGAATTTAAAGGCTTTTTATCTGTTCCTTCTTCTCGTGTGTTTCTCGTATCTCATTGTTTTTTCACTACTCTATTGAATGTTTTTTTTTGTCACGGTTGACTGATACTGCTGATAGATTGGTACTGCAGAATCTTGTGTTTTTATTGACGTATCCTTTATTGGTCTTTCTATTTCTCTACTGTATTGGAGTCCACAGCTACAAGAGATGTTATATATATTTTGCCTTCCATTGGATCCAGTTTGTATTGTTTATAATCGTATTGTTTCATAACGCTGTTAAAAACCTAAACACACAGTAATAAACCTAACTAACCAACCATCAGCAGAAACTGTAGAAATAAAGGAATAAATTTCACCGTAACACATAATAAATGACCTATGTACATCAGGACATAGAGGAATACATTAAGCTCTAAGATCCACTCGTAAACGGTCATACATAATGACATAAAGGAATACATCATGTTCCAAACTCTAGCTATTGACGACCATACATCATGGTAAAGGAATACATCAAGTTACAAGCTCTAGTTGTAGATGGCGATACATCATGACATAGAGGAATAGAGGGCAAGCTCCAAGATCTAGTTGTAAACGGCCATTACTTTACTTTAGCTTACACCAGCACCAGCACAGAGAAAATAATTAACGAACTCGTCCAGAAACACCAGTAAAACTTGAAACTAAAAGCACCTACCACAGCACTACCTCACAAACAAGGTTATTCACTAGGGTTGATAGTTACAGATTCATCATGTTACCCTTTAATTAGATATCTAATAGACATAATATCACCGTTAACATCCTTACTCAGCTCACATTGTAGAAGTTATAGAAGCAACCACTATAATCTCACAAGACACAATGATCAGCTTTGATGTATCCAACCTCTTCTCTAAGTTCAAACCTTTGAAAACATTTGGCAGTCCAGTAAAAATTTTAAAATAATAGAACTCTTAAGGAACTCATCCAACTGACAATGTCCATAATAACAGAGCTCACAACCTTCTTCCTTCCAACATGAAGATAGATACTACCAACAAACCAGACGACCTAGTCATGGGTTCACTTCTATCACCAGTAATCAGTAATATATGCATGGAAATGTCGAAGTTAAATTAACGCCCTCAGTCCCTCTACGCCCCAAGATTTGGCTTAGATGTGTTGAAAATACGTTCTTGTACAGACGAGATACACACTACAGACAAGATTCAAAAATTCATAAATTACCTGTTATACAACTCACAATAGAAATAGAAAATAACAACCGTCCATTCCTTTGCGTGACTGTTAACAAGACATACACAACGCAGGTGAAAACCGGTAGGTAGACAACGGATAACACAACTTGTTTTTAAGGTCTTCAAGCCACGCCCTGAGTTCACCTGCACTTTCAACGTCCATAGCCAGCTGTGAGAATTTAAACACCATATCAGGCGTTGATTCTAGTGGTATTAAACTATGAATCAAAAATAATAAAGAATTAAAGCAGCTCCAATATAGTTAAAGGTTTACCAATATTACTTTCAACCACCAAGCATAATTATATCACACTGAAACTTCATACAGAACTAAAATAATAACATATTTTAATACTAGTAATAAACATTTGTTATTTTCTTTTTAAATTGAACATTCACCGTTTCGCTTTACATTACACTAAAGCATAAACCGACTCTCCTGAAGAATCTGTGAAGCAAAACGTTCAGTGTTGAATTAAATAAGAAAAACAACAAGTGTGGTGTTGTAATGTCGTTTATTACTAATATTAAAATGTCTTTTATACTCCAATATGCGTTACAAAACTGAAACAATATCATATTCCAGTTTCCATTATGTTATATAGATATATTTACAACATGGAGTGTATTTTAAAGATGTTTTAAGGTTTCAATCAGTAAAACATGCTTTTGATGTACATCTTCAATAGAAGCATATCATAATGAAACTATGTAGAAAGATTCTGCCAGTGTGAAGTATAAGGTGTTAAAAAATCTAACAAACAACAGACAGACTTGTATCGCTTAATTTTAAATACGTTCAGACTTTCTCGACACTAGTTTCTCATTGTGACTCAAAGATTTCAGTTTGGTTGCATGTTCTTCTTCTTAAGGTTAGAACTTCTCGACACTAGTGTCTCATTGTGAGTCAAAGATTTTAAGTACTTTGCCTGAATATCCTACTTGTTGAGGTCAGAATTTTTCGACATTAGCGTTTCGTTGCATTTCGTAGCTTTTAGTTGTTTGACTGCACCTTTTACTTGTTGAAGTAAGAATTTATTGACACCGATAGTTCATTGAATATCAAGGCTTTCAGTTGTTTGACTGCACATTCTACTTGTTCAGGTGGAAATTCTTGACACTAGTGTCTCATTGTGAATCAGACTATTTAGTTTGGTTGCATATGGTACTTTTTAAGGGCAAACTTTCTCGGCGCACGTGTTTATTGCAATTCAAGGCTGTTTGTTCTTTGGTTGCACTTTCTACTTGTTGAAGTTAGAATGTCTCGACACTAGTGTTTTATTTTATATCAAGTCTTTTAATTATTAATATGTGTGTCATTTACCAAAATTCAGAAGATCTTGTGGAATAAGAAGTCAATCTAATTGTGTGATAAGACTATCAATTTTTCGTTTGCATTCAGTTGTATTAATGCGGTATCTATGTTATATAATTACTTAGGATTTTTCAACTTTTTGAGTTTCGTTAAAGTACATACTTCTAATATACATGCAAGATTTTTTCTGTGGAATTAAACATCACTTGCATCTATATCTGTGTATTTTATTCACTGGGCCATGTGTGGCATATCATAACCCTAAACCTGATCGCACAGTGGATGAGAACAACCATCTGAAGGAGCCTAGCCAAAGAAGAGGTGTGTACGATCTTGAACTGCCTGCTAGGCTGAGTCTCGTGGCGGACGCCAAGCCAAAAACATCATTTGACATGATAATTATCACGGTGTAGGCACAAGATGAAACATTGAGCTCTTCCCGAAAAAGGCTTAAGAACTTTCATCAAATACCAAGTAGAAGAATATAATTCTTATGCATTACATAAGTACTTAGAAGCACCAAACAACTAGTAATTCTGAGGGTAAACCAGCCAGGTTGAAATTGTGGAATCCGGACTTGGGAATGAATACTTTGTGTTTAAAGAGGTGAGATTATCAGGGTGTGTGAACAAAAACCTAGAACTGGTAGCGCCTACTATGGGTATAAAGAGTTGAGATTATCAGGGTGTGTGAACAGAAAACCCAGAACTGGTAGCAACTAATGGTCTTGGTACTGATAAAATAATATTATAGATAGGGGTGTACATCATAATCAGGACTGAGAAGGAGACTATTGGTTTGGTATAAGACCCGAAGATTATTGAGGTATGAGAACATCGAACTCAAAACTGGTAGGTAATTATTGGTCAGGATATAAATCAAGAACACTCTTGCAGCATGAGAACGATATATCCAATTCTGTAGATGACTATTAGATTTGATATAAGAGAGAGGGTTATCAGGATGTGTAAACGAACTGGGAATAACTACCAGTTACGATTTCAAGACAGAAGAGTGTTGGGAAGTAAGAACATTGAACCCATGACTGAAAAAGAACTAATGGATAGCATGTAAAGAGCGAAGGATATTGTGGAGTAAGAAGATCAAACCCACGAGAATCGTACCATAAGAGAAGTTGATAGATGTGGTGCCATTTGGAACTGATCACAAATCATAAGAATAAAATCGAGAAAGAAGTGATTCTTATCAATAAGAAGTTTGATATCAAACCATCAGTTGTGTCTGTAGCTGTCGTTCTGATCCTTCTAATGCATTGCAAGTTTAGTCTAACGCCATTGCAGTTCCATACTTTTATGACACTACACTAGATGTGACAAATGAGTTATGATTCTAGGTGTGATGAATAAATTATGACACTACACTAGATATGACAAATGAGTTATGATTCTAGGTGTGATGAATGAATTATGACACTACACTAGATGTGACAAATGAGTTATGATTCTAGTTGTGATGAATGAATTATGACACTACACTAGATGTGACAAATGAGTTATGATTCTAGTTGTGATGAATGAATTATGACACTACACTAGATGTGACAAATGAGTTATGATTCTAGGTGTGATGAATGAATTATGGCTACACTAGATGTGACAAATGAGTTATGATTCTAGGTGTGATGAATGAATTATGACATTACACTAGATGTGACAAATGAGTTATGATTCTAGGTGTGATGAATGAATTATGACACTGCACTAGATGTGACAAAT